ATGTTTTATTTAATTATATGTCAAAGATTGAAAGTGGTTGACTGAAAAAAGTCAAAACTAGACAAATATTCTGGGAAGAAGGTAGTACCATTTTTTGGAGCTTATTTCTCATAACTTCTACTCCATATTTATTTGTGTACTTACATTGATAATTTGATGAAATAGAACATTTTTGTAATAATTTTTAATAAATTAATTTTTAAAAATGGAAGATTTTGCCTGGTAATGAGGAATTGTAATCTATTTTGAGATAAATGGAGTATATGATACAAAAATGAAGATCTTGTCATTTTGATTTTAGAAAATAGATTTCCTTATTAAAAACATACGCTACCTTTTTTTTACAAAATTCCTAAATGTCATAAATTAAACCATAATGTAACGTCGAAAATTGTTTTGTGTGATGCTAAAAAATGGTGACTGATTTTTAAAAGTGAATTTGCACTGAATAGGACTAAAACATAAGTCATTTTCTAATGTAGGACTTAAACTTTTTTATTATCTAAATAGGACTTAATAATGACTAATGAGAAGAATAATGCCGACATTTAGTTGAATAATGATTAATAGATAATGACCAATGGTCCTACATTGGGAAATAAAAACAGATGGTCCTATATTGAGAAAGTCATTATGTTTTAGTGCTATTTAGGTAAATTATCATTTTTAAAAAGCGGATGGATTAATTTTTTTGTCTATAAAAGTAACATATACTCCCTCTGTCTCATTTTAAATTGTCCGTTTTCCTTTTTTCTCTGTCCCAAAATAAGTTGTCTGTTTCTTGTTATCATAAACTTTTAAGTGTAAAATACTTATACTACCCCTAAAATAAGTCACTCTTCTCCACTTTATCTTCTCATTCATCGTCACCCCTCCTAAAAAATAATGACAATTTCAGGAAGTCAATTCTATTTTTTTTCTTCCTTAAATATGTCCAAAATCAAAACGGACGATTTAAAACGGGACGGAGGGAGTATTATCGAATCAATCCTCTATAATTTGTAAAATTAGTTCCATCTCTTTAATACTCTGTGTTTACACATTAATGCCTAAAATATAAATCGCCTTTGTCTATATACGGGCCTGTTTGAGAATAGCGTCAGAGGTTAGCGTTATCGTTTTGAAAAGACTATCTACATGCAGCGTTTAGCGTTAGTGTTTTTAAAGTAAATCTACACGCTAATTGAAAACCGCTTTAAGCGAAAGTTCTTTATTCACGCAAAATGTAAGTTGAATTTTTTGTTGTTGTGATCATTGATCAAAAGCAATATTTATATACAACAATAGAGATAAAAGTTAAGTGGGAATTTGAATAAAACATTCGGGTTCCCATTTCATAAAAAATCATTAAAAAGTTACTCCAAATCACAAGCTTTTAAATGTTTGTGAGATAACGCAATTAAAAATAATCAAATATGCAAATTCTACCCTTAAAAAATGCAGATTGTTTAAAATTATTGCTAAAACAACCTTAAATATGTTAAATTTAAGTACTCCGTAGTATCTTAAGTAAAGTACTTACTACTCCAATTAACTAAAATAAAATAAAAATAAAATAAATAAAAACAATTCTTGTTATTCAAATCGACTGTTTCTATCATAAACCCTAATTATTTCATATAACAATGTATAGACATTTTAAAGTACGTAATACAATTAATAAAAATGAAAATTTATTTTAAGATTATAAGAATATTTATATGAGTATTAATAATGTTCATGAGTTCCTAGATGAACTTTACCTATCCTCTCAAATCAACAAACCAAACACACGGCTAGATTTATTAAAGAACTTACCATTCAAATCTATACAGTACATACAACACACGGTTTCTTATTTAGACTTACTGTTATCGTTTTGACTTCAAATTAAAACTATGATGATAATAATATATTCGCAAATGAACATAACTAATGTTGATCCCCCGGCCTACATTTCAAATTTAGCTCCGAGTCCTAAAATTATACTCCCTCCGTCCCAAAAAGATTTACACCTTTCAAAAAAATTGCATCCCACAATCTCCTACCCATTTTTATTAAAAAACCACTTTTACCCCTTACTTTTTCAAACCCTTCCTATCACATCATACCTTTTTCCTAATAATCTACACATCACATCCTACTTTTACCCATCACATCAAGGGTATTTTGGAAAAGTCAACACAAAATTATCCCTCCCTTATTTTTAACTTTAGTCAAAATGTGTAAATCTTTTCGGGACGGAGGAAGTATTATATAACTTCTGAGTCCTAAAATTATATTGGACGACATTGACCCTAGACCCGCGAGATCATCAAACTGCATGTGTAGAGTTAGAGGTGAATTCTAAAATAAAAAATTTAGGGGGAATTGAACTATTTTTTGAAACGAGGAGTACAATTATTTTATGCATTCCATAAAACGGGACCATTAACATGTGCATGTGTGTACTAAATAATTGAACCATTCAATTTCATTTTTATGCCAAAATTAGGGAAGATCGTGTATGCGTACGTGGGAGCAAAAATGTATGCCGCCCAATACCTGTTTCGATATGTATGCAATCCGACGGTGGCCAAATATATCTACGCCTCCTTTTTTCTCGTAGCTAATTTTCTGGCGTGGGTGGCCCGCGACTTTGGATACCACACTTTGAATTCAATGGATGGTAATTAACCTTCTTTCATTTATTTATAGTATCCACTACACATTCTTTAACTAATTTGCTTCTTATATACTCCATTTCTAGACCTCGCAAATCGGTCGGTCAGGTCGGGTTCGAATTCGGTCACCTTGGGTTCGGGTTACTTCGGGTTCGGTTAAGTTCAGGTTCGTGTTGATAACTACATGTTCATGACCCAGTGTCATCGAGTTCGGATTGACCCAACGGGTTATGAGTTTCATTTATTTTTTTGAAATTTTAAGTACTCCGTAATTTTTATGACTTAGTGTCAATATTACGAATAGAAAAAATTAAATATGTAGAAATTTTGAAAAAATGTAAGATAAGTATGCGACATCATTAAAATTTGTTATGATGTTATAAATCTATACACAAAAAATGAGTAGTAAGCAAAAAAATATAATCATAATCTTATTTTTATAACACTATATTTCGTATTAAAATGTATGATTCTGAAAAAATCTTAGATTAGCGGGGCGGTCAGTTCGGGTTCGGTCGGGTTTGACCCATTTTTAGCAGGTCATTTCGGGTTCGGTCAACTTCGGGTTCGGTCAGCAAAATCTTTGTTCAAAACCCAGTATTTTCGGGTCGGGTCTCGGGTCAAAAACAGGTCGTGTCATTTTTTGCCAGGTCCATGAACATTTCTCTCTCTTTATATATACATTCAACTGGCAACAGAGCTTCAACAGCGGCAGTATGAGAGCTACTCCCTTCGTCCCACTATATTTGTCCACTTTCATTTTTACACATCGTCCAATGCATTTCTTTAATCCATTTTATCTTGTAATTTGTATATTAAAAAATTATAGAAATTATATATTAATAATCTATATGTTAAGACAAATCAAACAAGATCACACATGACTATATTTAGGCTTACACATTGAGAGAATTTGATGAGTCAAAGTGCTTAGATGAACAGTTCCAAAAGTCAAAAGTGGACGAATATAGCGGGACGGAGGTAGTACCTCTTAAAAAATGAGGGGGGCTCCNACTTTCATTTTTACACATCGTCCAATGCATTTCTTTAATCCATTTTATCTTGTAATTTGTATATTAAAAAATTATAGAAATTATATATTAATAATCTATATGTTAAGACAAATCAAACAAGATCACACATGACTATATTTAGGCTTACACATTGAGAGAATTTGATGAGTCAAAGTGCTTAGATGAACAGTTCCAAAAGTCAAAAGTGGACGAATATAGCGGGACGGAGGTAGTACCTCTTAAAAAATGAGGGGGGCTCCTTGTGCGCAATGAGCGATGGTCAGAGCCTATGTTGCCGGTTGAGTCACCATGATTTACATCCTCTCACAAGGGTGAAGGACGCTCAGATTGAGCGGTTTTGCTTTTTCTGGAACAGGAATGCATACGATTTATTAGATTTCCCAAATTGACTGGTCAAACTTTTCTACTAGTCCCGAAAATGCACTGCTTTAGTGTAAAAATGCATCACAATGGGTCGAAAATGTACCATTTTAATTTCTCGCAACAAAGATCGTTCTCACCTGAACCAACCCCTATATATATGCTCCCTCTTTCCGCATAGATTTTTCCATTGTGCATTATATAAGGCTTGACTAACTTCGTTTTCAATTTAATTTATTTGATGATAGAAGTAAAATTTTAAAATAAAATTTATAAATTATAATTTTGCATAATTTACAAATAAAATTTATGCCCATTATAAGAATAAAATTTATTCAATTATATATATATATATATATATATGTATGTATATATATATATGTATATATATATATATATATATATATATATATATAATATATATATATATATATCCAACACAAAGACGGTGGGATAAGGTCTAAGATCCCTTACGAGCTTACCAATCTATTAAGGGTGTTTGGTGAGCAAGCAAAATATGAGTTTTGATATCTCCAGACATTAGAATTTTTTTCGGTGTTCGATGAAGGCAAAAGAGATATCACATCTGATATCTTCAGATATTGTAAAGCCTCCAAATGGAGAATTTCGATATATCAGGAATTTCATAATATTAATACGAGGGTTTAATATCTCTTTCAAGCGTTGATCATTCTTCTGCACCGGTTATCATTATCGTCACCAACAACTACTCTGTTGCCAGTCATTCCCGCATATCACTAATGAAATCATGATTTTAAATTTTTCCACATTAATTCATTTTCATTCAAAAGTTCATTTCATTTCTTTTTTACTGTATTCTATAACTCATATCTTGTCATATCTCCCGAACTTATAAAACGGATCCTAAGATCAATATGAGTAAATGTTTGGGAAGGAATAGACTAAATAGAAAGAAAAGCCCAAAGACGACCATGTCCACCAAAATCATCAACCTATCGCCGGAGAGGTCCCTCCGGAAAACAGAGTCGTCGTAACGGGAGTCCTCCGGAAAGTCTAGCAGATTAGCGAAGCTAGCTTCCCGAAATCAATCTCAAAGGTAGGCTAAATCTAGGTTTGATTTCATCCATGTTTTTAGCACGATGGATCCAACACCAGTCAAAGAGCGTTCTGGTAATCGCCGATTACACACGAGCATAGTTGGGACTGGTATTGTCATGGGCGACTGTGTTGAGTTCCTTCCAAACAGTTATTCCAGGGAGCATCTTTCTGATCTTACTCGATTCTTAATCGAGTTAGGGTTATGGGAAAGGTTCCATTCAATGATGTGTTATCCAATCAAATGGTGAGGCTATAGTGCTTCGAAGTTTGCAGCAAAAAATCTCCATATTGACATTGGTATGTATAGACTATGATCCATTTCTCCTTCATGAGTGCACATTTAGAAGCCAGGTGAAAGCCATTTCGCTGAAGGTTCTTTGGGAAAGGGAGAATGTCCCAATGAAATCTCCACAAGAAGAAACTAATTTTAGGAATTTGGACTTTATTCCAGCTTTGATTAAAGCAGAGTTGCTTTGGTTTATGGTCTCTGGAAACGTCATGTGCTTTACCGAGAGAGAAGCTACCATCTTCCCTTTCCAAGTTGTCCCCGTGAGTGTAGCGTGGGGTGGTGCAGAGCTATTGATTCTGGCAATTCTCTTCCAGACTGGGGAATCATAAATTCTTTCTTTAATGATTTTGCTTTAAGGTATTTAGCTCTCATAGTTTGACAGAGTACGCTTCTTGGATATCTGTAAGAGATCAAAGCCCTAGACCACCTTCATCTTTAAGAAATCAGATGTTATTTCAATTGATCCAGTGCTGTTTGGCCTTGCCTTTATTCTAACCCCAAAGAAAATCAGCCATGTTCTTCTAAAGCTTGTGAATAATAGAAATAGGCAATCTATACATGGACACAATATGAAGAGAAATTGACGAAAGAACATGTTTAATAAGGATTAGCTTGCCATAGGATTAGGGGTCTTGCTGTACCAAGAAGTGAGATACTTATCAAAGCGAGTGATTAGATCATTACAATATTGTTTTCTGAGGATACCCTTAGTCACAGTAGCTCCCAGATAGGTGAAGGGAAAGTTGCCATGATTCATGGCAAGAGCTGAGCTCATTTTACCAATCTAAGTAGGTTTCATTCTTTTGGCACTGTAGAAAGTGCATTTGTTAAGATTAACTCTTTGCCCAGAGGCTTGTTGATAGTCATTGAGTATAACTGTGAATCTGAGCAGATTCCTCAAATCCCCTCTAATGAATGTTAGTAAGTCATCTGCAAAAGCAAGGTGACTAATGTAACACCCCAACCCGCGTAACCCGAACAAACGAGTTAGCAAATCGGGTTGTCACTAATTTGGTATTCACATGCATAATATTCTGAAAACACTTAGAAATAAAACAAACATTCATATTAATTGAAAAATAATTCATCGTATAATCGGAGTAAATAACTAAAAGGTTGCAGAAGCATTCATAGTTATTAATGGCGAGTGGCGAGGGGCGGGCGAGAGGACCTTTTTTATGGCGAGAGGCGGGCGGTCAAATGGCGAACATGCATGCATGCATACATACATACATATACACACGCACACACACACACATATATGTATGTATGTATGTATGTATAAACACATAATATTGATACTATGTATGTATGTATGTATGTATGTATGTATATGTATATGTATATGTATATATATGTGTGTGTGTATATATATATATAAAATGGAGTAATATATAGCAATAAATATTATGCATTGTATACCCTAAAGCCTGAAGGCAGTGATTGAGGCGAGAAAAGCGAGCTAGGCGAACGCCTGAGGCAGTGATTGAGGCGAGAAAGGCGACCGCCTTAGGCGCGCCTTAGGGATCTCGCCTCGCCTGGCTTCATTGAGGCGCTGAGAGCTCGCCTGGTCGCCTGAGGCGCCATAGGCGAGAGAGGCGAGCGCCTTTAATAACTATGGAAGCATTCAAAAACAACATTCAACATTCTACTAATTTAAGCAAACAATTTCAACAAACTATATCTAATTTAAATAAAACAGTATCGGGCCATCCTCTAGTGTCACGCCTCACTGTTCTCCAGGCTGCTCCTCATCCAATCCTTGATCCCTACATGTATATACAGGAGAGTGGAAAGTATCTAACGCTAAAACTAATTAATAGACTAGCATCCATTAATATATATATATAATCAAACAGTATCAGAAGAATCAACAAATATCGTTATCCAAATGTACCACTAATTATCCTTTAAAATTAAGTTTAGTTCTTACGAATACTTACTCCATCTGCATGCTAGATATAATCCAATTCATACTAATGGGAGTAATGGAATCCAGGCTCTCGCCTAAACCCACACTCAAAACTCCAAAGTTCTCACAATGCAGGGGGTTGGTCACTGACCACCGTGCACACGTTTTTAACCCTCGAGACCATCAGGTGCACGACGTCACCTGCATGAAGTTATTCTCGAATCACAATTTTATTAGTGATTTAATATCTAATTCAACTTTGATCTGCCAAGAGTTACTAGGTGGCCTACTTCACACTTTTATTTCACAACTTAACAATACACCAATAAGCCCATTAACATCTTACATTCTAAGAACAACACTAACATAGGCCAATCAAAGGACAGATGCAAATCGTAATCACAAAACACATACATCAAGCAACACAACCGGCCAATAAGGACTGCTAAATGCCCCAGAAGCAGTACCTTCCCTTTTCGTTTGGCAGCAAGGTGGAAACAGCAACACGCCACCACATCAGTGGCGGCAGCAAGTCAGCAATGACATGATATTCACAGTGAACCAAACCAAAGGACAGATAGAGAGAGAAGGGACGAACAAAACAGAGAGAGAGAAGAGAGAGCATGATCACAGAACACAAAGCAAGGGAGAAACAGAATAGAGCAGTAGCATCAACGTATAAATTTTCCAAAAATCAAAATCATATCCCAACTCAAATTAAATTCACACAATCAATCGCATAATCATATTTAAAAAGGATATGTGGTGGACGCGAGTTATAAAAAGGATATCTACCTGGATAAAATTAAAACATTAAACTTTCATCAAAATAAGAGATCTTATGTCTCTATTTCATAAATAGGATGGTTGACACTATAAACGCAAAAGATTTGTCATTGTATGTTGCTATTTCACAGTGTTTTACTTAGCAATTTAAGAGAGTAAATTATTCTTACCAAATCATTCCTGCATCGTTAGTTGTGCTTGAAGTCTGGTGTGGGGTTTGCCGTTTATAAGTTTATTACTCCGTAAATTATTTGGTCGCAGGGCTAAAAGCTTGCAATGGTGAAAAAGATTGTTTGAGCAGAGAGGGAGTGCTTAGAGTCAGCTTGGGGTGTTTCGTATCTTTTTATTGTATTGAAATACGTTCTATCATTTTTTCCAATTGTGTTTTTTAGATAAAGATGTTCAATTCCATTTCCATATATGATTATTTTCTACAAGTAGCTATTTAATACGGAATAATTAGTATACATAGAGTTAGAAGTTAGAACTTGACAACACATAGACGTTTTATTTTATAATGTTTGCATCGACGGTGGGCACTTCAGAGAGGGAAGGGCGTAGAGAAAAGTGGCACTGTGGGTGGTGGGGTCCTAAGACGATGATGCTGTTTTCCTTCATTTTCTTTCCATTTGCTTTCCCATCTAAACTGATTTCTATCTACGGTATGTCACACACACACACTCTCTCTCTCTATTCAAGAGCTATTAATTTCAATTCTCAATCATCACATATGTTCATGCTTTGATTTTAAAGAAAATAAGAAAATTATTGAAAAATGAAAATTGGTGGTCATTTATTAGTTTCTTCGACAATTTTGTGTAATTGAATTTACATATATCAGACGGAAATTTTAATAGACATTAACGAGTTAGAAGGTGCGGGTGCACGCTAGTTCAATAGTATCACAAATTCCATAGACGTTTTGAGCTGTTTTGTTTTGCACATTGTTGCTTTATGAAATTCTTTTGGATTTTCAGAAATGAAGTCAAATAAGGGAAATATTCGAATGTATGAAACCATATGTTCGAATGTTAGCGATAACCACCATCACCTTTTTGCAGAAGGACGTAATCATTCACATGCCTAACTTAGAAATTCGAATGTTTCGCGATTGGTTCAATGATTTGCGTAGAGATCCGCAAATTCATTTCTAATCGCTGCAAACATTCGAACATTTAAGCCAAATATTCTAAGATTTTGACCAATTTCTTTTTTTTTTCTCTCTTGGTTTCAACTCCAACCTAGCTATACACACACACTCACACTCACACTCACACATATATAGGCTCTCTAAAAACATACTAATTCTCGTACATATGTTTTCTATATGTGATGAACAGGTAAAATTTCAATAGGTGGAGCTGGGTATGTACATTGCTTAAAAAAACCATGAGTCAATTATATTACATTTAGTGTGCAAATTGAAAGATCTGGGAGATTCAATGCAAGAGGCAAAACTATTATGGTCTATATATATATATATATATGTGTGTGTGTGTGTGTGTTTGTTTGTTTGAATTTACAGGGTGTTTTTACTAATCAGCATGGCCTCCTTCATCATTTGGGTACAAAAGAGGTGCTACTCCGAAAAATCGAAGTTGAGCAACTCAAAATTTAGGAGGGCGGTTGCAGGAATTTTGCACTTTTTATGCATTGTAGGCATTGTCATTTTGTACGTCTGGTACGCGCCACACGCGTCTTGCTCGCTTAACATTTCCATCATCAGTGGAACAATAATACTCTACATCATTATGAGTGGTGCTTCCTTTCTTCGTAGTGTGAGTTTTTCTTTATTTGTCTTTGCTTTTCATCTCACATCATTTTAAGAATGAGTATTTTTCTCTTTTGATCATTTGGTCGGATCAATTTAGTAACTTTAGTTAATTCAACGTGCTTTAAGAACTCACTCTAAGGCCCTGTTCTTTTGGGTTGGAAAAATTAACTTCCAACTTCTTCCAACTCTTTCCAGTTTTCCCAACTTTTTCCAGTTCCTTTCAGTTTCTTCTAACAACTTAAAAAGGTATTTATATATGATTAATATAAAATAATATTATATATCTAAATTTATAACATATCACCTCAAACACGGAGAATGATGAATTTTTTCTTTTTTTCCAAAAAAAAGTTTTCTTACATATTTATTTGGACAATCATTTGAGTGACTTTTTAACACATAAATTCTTCCAACAATTTCCAACTTCTTCCAGTTTTTTCCAATTCCTTCTAGTTTCTTCTAACTCCTTTCAATTTCTTCCAACATCTAACTTTGAAATTCCAACACAAAAGAACATGCCTAAACAGGACTAAAACATAGAGAAAGTACCAAAATAAGAGCTCTATGTTTTAATCCTCAAAATAAGAGTTCGCATTGTGGTAATGTGGCACTGTATATGGATATTTTATAATACTTTTTGATAATGTATATGATCATGATTGACACTGTAAATGCATTTTAGCTCCTGTTTCGGGAATAAAAATATAGAACTCCTATTTTGGTATAATTTCAATATTTTACTCTTACTTTAGTGTTTTTTTCAATGGGCTTTTGGCACCCATTGAGGGGTGTAGGGTATTGCCGTTTCCATCTCTCTATAAGTTTGCTTCTACACGTATTATTTAGTACATTTCAAAACTATTAGATATTCGGGATGAGTAAGAATGTTTTTTAACAGTGTTTAGGAATACTAGAGAGTCGGTGAAAAGACATGATAGTTACACAAACTGCAACAATTTTTTATTAGGAGTATTTCTTTTTAGCAAAATTTGCTTAATTTGATGTTTTTATGTCAATGAATCGTTACTATAATACTATGTGCTATTTGAACATTATTTTTGTCTCTGCATTAAGACTTGTTTTTACTATTTTACTAGTTATATTTTTATGATAGCTAAATGTTTGAAAAGATGTCTAGAAGTAATACGTTGTTAATAAGTTTTTATTGACTTTAGTTTGGAATAATTTGTTCTCTGCTGTAATTGTCATTTTTATTAAACTACGGAGCAAAAAAAGTACCAACTTAATACAAATTTCTTATCCATCAAGTACGAAAAATAAACGCACTCCCTAGACATCCAGGGTTCATATCCAGGGCTCATTAGTGATATTCTGAAAGCAGCTAAGGTCCCAGCTAATAAAGTCTTTGAGTCATTTCATCATTAGATGAGTCAAGAACAAATAACTTTGTCAACACTCTAACAACACCAAAACCATTTTCATGGCACAGGTGAATGGTGGTTTTCTATCTTCTGGTATAATGGGAATTTATGTTATATACCTTTGTTGGTGTGCACTCAAAAGGTCAGATTTTAGATGTATATACTGTATTAAGTTGATGTATGTATGTATGTATGTATGTATAATGCTCTTTTATTTGGAAAAATGTAGGTATATATAACGTTAATTTTATTCACTAATTATTGTAATATACTCTATAAATAATACTGTAGTAATAATGATTAATTACATGCATGCAGTGAACCTCAAGAAACATGCATGCGAGAGGGAGGGTCCTCTAAAGAAGATGTGTTCACCATCATAGTACGTAATGTTTCACACTTTCACACTATTTACTCCTCTTACAATATATATATATATATATGTGTGTGTGTTTGTGTGTATCATCTCAAAAGCGCAACTCATTATATACTAATGAATAATAATGGCTTCTAAATGATGTGTGTGTGTGTCTGCAGAGTTTTTTTGCGGGTTTGATAACAATGGCGGTTGTGACGTTTACAACCGGCATCGATTCTAAATGTTTTACGACCGCGGTTCGTCCCTTTCACGTTGCTCCATCTCCATCTCACTTTAATTACTTGTATAACATTCATCCCGTTCCAGAGTATTAGTTCAGTTTTGACTTTTTATGTTCGAATCGACCAATAATTTAAAATTATACGGAGTACTATATATATATATATATATATATATATATATATATATAGACACACATACATGTGTGTGTGTCTATATATTAGACAAAGTATTCTTCTATCAAAATCTAATACTCCCTTCATCCCAAAATCAAGTTTTGGTTTTACTATGTTTGACTTAAGTTGTTTTCAAATTAGTAAAGTTAAAATTGGTGTAGAATAAAAAAAATAAAAAAGTATATATTAAAAAAGTACTCCGGGGTATATAAAATCTCTACAAAAATAGTGGTGACAAAGTTATTTTATTTTATCGAATAATCGGTAATGAAGATGTATAAAGAGAGTAGATTTATTTTGAAGAGTTGTTTAATTAATTATTAATTACAGTTGAAAAGGGAGGATGAAGATGATGAAGTTCCATATGGATATGGATTCTTTCACTTTGTTTTTGCCACAGGATCCATGTATTCTGCTATGGTTCTAGTCGCATGGGATACCAACCACCATATGCAAAAGTACGTAGTTGGTGCTCATTCATCCATCTTTTTATTACTCTCATAAAGTACTCAAAATATGTAATTTTGATATTATTTTGTAATTATAACTCTTTTATTTAACAAATTATATCTTACATACCTTATTACGGAGTATGAAGTAAAAGAAAAATTTAAAAATAATATCATAATTACACATTTTTAAAGCATGTCTTTTTCCATCTTTAAAAAACTTTATGTGATGAAGAAAGTATATGATAATCTTAATGATGGAGTAATAACAACATATTCCCTTCGTCTCGGTGTAGTTCTTCCGTTTTATTTTTTCATCAAAATGGATGAATTTTTAGCTTCAATTGAATAAAAACCTTAATGTATGTTAGCATAAAAATTATTTTAGCAGATTTATCTTATTGAGAACTTTCAAAATTGTATTAGAAATCATTCTAAATAGGACTAAAACATAGAGACTTTCATGTTTTTTTTCTCGGAATAGGACTTTGCACTGTGGTAATGTGACTTTGCATTGTGGTAATGTGGCAGTGTACATGTACAAATTACTATACTTTCTTGGTAATGTATATGCCCATGTTTGGTAATGTAAGTCCTATTTCGGGAATAAAAACATTGAAGTCCTATTTTGGTATATTTTCAATGTTTTAGTCCTACTTTGGTCTTTCTCCCAAATTGTATTTCATTATACTAATATGTCATACAAGTTGAGAGCAATTGAAGCTCAAAGTTTGTCTAATTAAATTTGGAAAAATCAAACTAGACAAATACACTGGAATGAAAGTAATACTGTTTCGAGAGACCGTCTTGTGTCGGATGGATATTGATTTGATACAGACGTATATATATTTATGTGTGTGTGCAGGTTCACAATTGATATCGGGTGGACTAGTACTATTGTGAGGATAGTCAATGAGATTGTAGCAGTCATCATTTATGGTAATTAACTTCTATTTCACATATTTTTCTCTATCTTATCTTTTTTGTTTGAAACAAAAGTAACCAGTTGTATATCAATTAATCCAAAGTTAATTTATTAAACCCTTTTGCTGCAGGATTGGTCCTGATGATTAAACCCGAGTGATTTGCATATATGGCTGATGTACTCCGTAATACATTTAAATCTTACGAGAAAGAGAGTGTTGTACGTACTTGTCCTACAATTATTAAATTAAACTTGGTGATGAATTAGTTTTAACACATTTTTATTTCAAATTAACATGGAGGGGGGCAATTATAATGCATTCAAGGTAATTTTTTTCTTTTTTCAATTAATTATCAACTCATACTTAATAATTATCCAGTCACCATTTAAAATTTCACGTATTTAGCTTAGTGGGCAGCCTGGAGTGTTGGTGTAAAATTAAATAATTTTTGCGAGCACTGGTGTCAATTATTTAATTTTGGAGTATTATCGTAAAATCACAAATTTTCTGGAAGTATTCATGTAAATTTTTCTTTATTTAAAACTTTGTATATTTATAACTTTATTAAATTATATGCAACGGGACGATCTAGGTCTACTTATTTCTAAATAATGAGAACCGGCCCGACTTGTTTTGCTTAAAGAACTCCCCTAGCCCAGCTTGTTTTTAAAAATAAAATTTTGGACCCGATCCTAACTCGCCCTGAACCGTGCGATTCGGTTCTGACCTGCAGTTCTATGACCCATTTGCCCACCCCTAGCCTTAACGCTGTGTTTGGTTTGTGGAACTCAGAAGAAAAGGAAAAGAAATATTTTCTCTCATTTTTCCTTCATCACAGGGTGACCAATGGAAGAAGCCAAACAAATATTTTTAATTAATTTTTTATTGTAACCCAATAAAAGTCACCCACTCACTCACTAAGGTCAAGCCCCATAACACACCTTTTTTACTCGCATCCACTAATTATTTAAATGCTTAAGCGGTGCCTACGTGGCACATGATCAAGCTTTATCAAGTTCCATCATAACACATTGTCTAATACAAAATACATAGAGCGGCATAACTATTTCCACTGCAATAATTTTGACTGAATTTATATTATCTTACACATAATTAATCCAATTCAACAATCAAACCACTATAATTTACGTATTAGCGTAAAACATGAAATTTTAAGTTTAAATAAACAATCATGAGAAAAGTTGATTAAAGTTTCTATGACTTACAAAACAAGGCTACTTTATCAAAAGTAACGTCTAACAGCAAAAACCTTGTGGTCTAGCAGCATCTGTGTGACTTTCTCAAATTGGAATTCGCATGTTTAAAATCCAGCTAGTGTTAACCTTAAGTGACTCTAATTTCATAGATTGATTTGCATTTGTTTAAAAAGTGATGCTACGTCTGAAAATTTTACAAACTACCAATATCCTGTCATGTACGCAGAGTGACATGTATAGTAAGAATGCACAAAGTATTTCACATGATTAAAACATGGTAAACTCAAAAGATACTTTAAATAAAGTACTTTTGCTTAAAAAACGTTCATTTAAAAATAACTCTCTCCAATTTTCACTCTTAAAATATGGTAAAAATAACTTACAAAAAAGGAATTTTATAAAAATAATTTTTGGACTCTGGAAACTACTTGCGTGTTTATATAACTGTAACTCTGTAAGACTCAATTCATCCTTCCTCGCTTTGAAAAGTCTTGCAAATTTTTATTAAAAATAAACTTTTACTTTTAATTCCTACTATGGTCATGTTCTCTTCTCCCGATCTGATTGGTTCTGATCTGATTAGAATAAATTCTGACCTGATCTGGTTTGATTTGATTTGAATGTAGTTATATTTAAAGTTATTTCTGATCTGATCTATTTTCATTAAGAATAAGTAATAAATCAAAAAAATAAGTTGAGGAGAACAAGACTTATATCTATCACATTATATTTATTTGCAATGAATCTATCAATTATAGCCTACTTTTAGTCAATAAATTTTTGGAGTAACTATAAGGAAATTAAAGCCAAATCGTTTTGGCTATCACTTTAATTAAGTACACTATATATCAAAAAAGTACTTAGCTCTGCCATTTGTAATTCAAAAGTGGCTTCTACTTTATACATTTTGATCGCAAAAGCAAGAGGCTTTTCTATAACTAAAACATTGGATTCAAAAGTGGAAGTTTTCTTCTCTCTCTCTCTCATCATCACTTAATTAACCTTCATAATTACAACTAATTTCATGATTATTCCATACTTTAATAACTTTACATACGGAGTACTATATATGGTTTGATCAAATTCCTTCTAAAAACAACATCCATAGGATTCTTGAATTTCTTTAGAGTACAAAAAATAGCACTACTTGTTTTTTTTTTGACAAAAAAATAGCACTTATTATATAGTTTCAGACATTCCATGAGTTTGAGCTTTTGGTTAAATTGGTTCTTTACCAAAAGCATCCAGCGTTACATTACAACAAGCTAGCTAGCTAGAGAGATTTATTTAAAAGCACGCGCGCGGGAGAAATGCAGATCGGATGTGGAAGTAGCAGTAGTTATGATGATGTTGGCACTCGTTACGAGAAAATCAAGAATGGGTCTTGGCTAGGCCAGTTTGGGGATGTATGCAATCCATGGATGGCTAGATATGCCTATGGGTTGCTCTTTCTTCTTGCAAATTTACTCGCTTGGGCTGTTCGTGACTATGGCACTAGCTTTTTCAAAGCAAGCAAAAGTAAACATATCATATTATATCATATCGTATCGTATACGACTCCATACTACTATATATTTGATGATTATGCAAAACTGTGCTTAATAGGATTGATGAGGTGCGTGGTTTGTATGGTTATTTGGTTTTAGGGCTAAATGAATGCAACGGTGGAAAAGAGTGTTTGGGTACGGACGGAGTTCTTAGAGTCAGCTTGGGATGTTGTGTATCCTTTTTTGTTCGATCTAATTATTAACATACAATGCCATATAATTTTGGTGTTTTTTTCGGGGCGTAACAATTATATTCTCCTAGTGCGTGATAGAACTTGACATATGGTTTTGTAGATATTCTACTTGATAATGTTTGCATCCACAATGTTCATCTCAAAGGTGAATAATTGGAGAGAAAAATGGCACTCTGGGTGGTGGATTCCAAAGATAGGGATGATGGGTGCCCTACTTGTGTTTCCATTCTTTCTTCCTATCAAGTTTCTTTCCATCTACGGTAATCTCATGACCACATCCAACTATAATTTCGCTTGGGAAAAATACATGATAGTAAATATATATGTTTTATTTGTCGATGACAGGTTTGATTACATATTTTGGAACTGGGTACGTTTAATAAGCTAGTGAAACGTTCATATATGGTCAAATTTTATTCACTTTCTTCAGGCGATTAATTCAACAAAGTTATATACACGTGTATTAATTTGCAGGGTGTTTTTAGTGATCCAGCTGATAAGCATAAACGGGCTCATAAACAGATTAAGCAAATGGTGCGAATCGAAAGACAGAATCTGCCTAGTGGTGATGTTTAAAACAATTCCCCACACATTATTCATCATGGGTATCATCTTCTTCTACATATGGTTTGTGCCACGCCGGTCCTGCGCCATTAACATCTTCTTCATCACTGCAACTCTCATTCTCCACCTCCTCAACACAGCCGTCGCCCTCTTCCTCATCAAGGCCAATGCAACTTCTTCTTCTTCCTCTTTGACTTCTGGTTTCATGGGACTTTATCTTCTCTTCCTCTGCTGGACTGCACTTAAAAGGTCAGCTTTTCTCTATGTCATGTAGGTTATATGAAAAAAATGAATTTATCTAAATAGTACTAAAACATAGTAAGTTTCCAAATGTAGTATTATATGTTTTTATTTCTCAATGTAGTAACACTGGTCATTGTCCACTGGTCATTGTTTAAGTAAATGTCCACCATCACTGAACATTGTTCAAACTAAATGTCCATCATCACTGGACATTATCTTCGCCACCATGCATTATTTAAGTACTATTTAAGGAATAAAAAAGTTCAAGTACTACATTGAGAAATAACGTACTCCTTCCGTCCCACAAAATATTTCAAGTTTTTCATCTTACTCGTCCCATAAAACATTTCAATTTCTTCAAAATAGACTACAATACCCCTCTTAAACCCTACTTTCCCACACCATATCCATCACGTACATCTCATGTTACTTTTTAATTACTCTTTCACATTATTAATCACTATGTATGATTTGAAGCATCTCTTTTTTTTAAAAAAACCTTAAGGGTAAAATTGGAAAGTCAAACACCAAAAAATACTTTCCTTAAAACACCAAAAAGTCAAATCTGGAAATGTTTTTCGGGACGGATGATGTATGTTTTAGTACTATTTAGTGCAAATTTCACAAAAACCCCACAACTTTTATCTATATAGCGTAAAATTTAAAAGTAACAACAAAATTATACATTCCTTAAATTCCTATATTTTAAAAGTGGAAAGGTATTATAGGATGGAATGAGTATTCAGAAATTACAAGCTGAATAAAAGCAAAAGGTACGAAATTACCAAAATAGGAATCTTAAATCTTTTAAGACGAAAACATGAATATAATGGCCGTCTAATGCAAGAATACGCGATAGCATCGTGATGAGAACTGAAAGTGATGAAAGTGTAATATGGCTGTGAAATCAGTCAACCGTCAGTGATCGGCGACGATATTCTGGTGGCCGGGGTGACAGATGACAATGTTACAGTGATAGTGTGGTACTTGTAGTGTGACAATATGATGAATGTGACAGTTTAATAGTAGCAATATGAACTTCTAATTTGGTCTTAAAAGGCTTCTAACTCTTATTTTACTACTTCCTTCGTCCTAAATTAATTCTTTTTATTTCCTATTTGGGCTGTCTCAAATTAATCTTCCACTTTCCTTTTTTGGAAAGCTTTGTGTGGCCCACCTTTATTCCCTCTAAGCTAGATTACTTTCCACCATATAGTTTCACTTTTCTGAAACTCCCTACAAAGTCAAAGTGTGAGTATAAATTTGAGAAGGAGAGTATTTTTATAGTTTTTTTTATCTTCATTCAGGGAGTTCCCCCTATGAATATATACTCCATCCATTCGAGCAGGGCCCCAAGAAAAGGGGCGTAATCTTTAAAAAAATTTAATACCAGTAATAATACTTCTTTTGTCCAAGTTGAAACTTCTTGTTTTGTCTTGGCACAGTTTTTAGTATAAAGTGAAAAATACTTTGACCTTACCAAAAAGCCCCTACTTCATTTATGCCTAATTTCCGCCGCAACCCATATTACATAGGGGTCGTCACGCTCCGTGATGGTTTGGTATTTTTAAAGAACCCGTACCATACTGTTATTATTCAAACGGTTCGATATTGTTTCGGTTTTACCCCTAAACTCATTCGTTACCATGTCGTTTGGTAACACGATGATACTATGCCATAGTAATGCTAAACCATCTCATAATACTTTGACGCTTAAAAATTATTTTTATTTATAACAAACAATTGACATAATTCTTTAATAAAAACATTCGACATAATTAAAAAAAATTAGTGCACCAATGTTTGTATACATTCCTACTCAACAAGTGTAATGTTTAGTTATAGTTTTTTGCAAAACATAATTATAGTTTGATTTTTAAACAAGTGAAATTATAATTTGAGTTGTACTTTGGGTTAATTAAATACTATAAAAATACAAGTTTAAGTATGTTAAAATCACACCAAATAAATATTATATAAACTTACTAAAAAATAACAAATGAAAATGTATAATTAATTTATTAATTTAATACTTTAGTGGTAATGGTTCAGTATTTTTGATATTTATCATTTGGAAACTCGTCTCATACCATTTTGAAAATGATTCAATTCGGTTCGAGATATAATTTACTAGAACCATTTAAAAGCATGCTTTTCAATCGATACCATATCAGTTCGATTCAGAATAATATCAGACCAATATTTTTATACACCATTCATTCTAAGCATGCGTTTTTATTTATTTATTATTTTTTATATCAATACCTAGTTGTGTGGTGGAGATATTTTGGGGTGCATTTGGGGTACATTGGTGTACCCTAGCATTTTTGTTTCTAGCTTTCTCTGTGACTAATACTTTATTCGTTCTTGAAAATACTTTTGCCTTAATTTTTTGCGTATTTCATAAAATACTTTTACTTCTATCTAAAATGTCTAAAATACATTACTTTATTGCAGGTAGAATTTTTTTTGAGACATATTTTAGACATTTTAGTTAGAGTAAAAATACGGAGTATTGCTCCACCAAATTAGATGTTAACTTTTGGAACTAGGCGGAGAGTCTGAAATAAGCTAGTCAGGCCGAAGAGCGAGAGACTTGAAATGGCGATATACGAAAAAGAGGAGATCGAAATAGGATTCTTTAATTTTCAAGGTATCCTTCTAATCGTCTTTAATCTTTGGTTTTCTAATCTTGATCTTTTAATCTTGAAATAGTAAAAATTAGGGATTCAAGACTCTCTGCTGCTTTGCCAATCTTCTGATGAGCACTCATCACTTTATCTCCTTTGCAGTTTTTCTATTTTAGTACTCCATATAACCAAATACTGAATTAGATGTCTAGATTACAAAACATTTGGGTAATTAAGGTCGCTCCATTCATATTAACTATTTCCAGTCCCAAAAAGAGTAGCACAATTTGATCCTTTTTTGGTATAATGCTTTGACGATAAATTGTGAAAAAAGTGTATTTAGTTATAAGGTATATATAGTAAATTGGGTTCATTTTAAAAAATATTTTTGATCTATCAAATTTTTAAACATTTAATTATTTTAAAATATATTTAATTTATGACCGAAGTGCTACATAGTTTGACTAAAAAAGACAAACCGTGCAAAGCTTTTTGGGATGGAAGGAGTATGGATAAAAATATCTACTTTGATTTTTTATTTAGGGTTAATTTTAGGTTTTAAAGTAATCCCTAGAAAATTGTTGTGTTTCTTTTATTATAAATTTGAAAAAAATGATTTAAATTTAAAATTTTGGTTTGATGTAAAATGACTTGAAAGGATTTAGATTTAATATTTAATGTTTCGTATAGTATTGCTTTCGTTATGAAAAATTTATAGTCTGTATTATATCTTTCTTTTGATATTTTGCTACGTATATTTTTATTATTGCTACACAAAATTAGGGTCTAAATTTTCCAAATCGCACGGGGCCTTTATGTCATAGGACTGGCCCCGAATAATAGTCAAGATTTGCTTTAGAAGCAAAGATGTGTGATTGAAAGTAATGTAAAAGAGAACAAAATATGAGGTACAAAAACATTTCCAAAAATCGAAAGAGGATTATTTTTTTAGACGTTTAAAAAGAAAAGAAGACTATTAATTCATATAGAAGGAATAATATTATTACAATATGATTCGTGGAATTCAAATGATAAAGAAAAGATTGGTCTCTCCTTTTTTTAGTACTATTGACTCTATAACATTGTAGCTGTTCATACATACTTTCGTAAATGAAGCACGGAGAGTCAACGCTTCTGCTGGATTTCGAACCTGAGTGAGCTTCTCATCTAGAATTTATCCTTGTCATCTCCTTCATGGGTAGTTTGAAGAATGTTTCATGCTTGTTTAGCGACAACACAGTTTGATACAAGTCTATATTGTGTTCCATCTACTCCTCCAAAAATAGCATCGATTTCTTTGTCATTAGTTTCTATTGCAGCCTATTTGGATTTAGACTATACTTCATAAGGCTTTATAATATTTGAAGAACTAACCGTGTTCTCTTCAGTTAATTGGTTTACTCCAACCTACTATTATACTTCTCCAAAGTCCAAACTCTCATGTGACCTTTACAAAAGCAGTTGTGACCACGTAGAAGAGGTGGTCGTTAAATTTTGACTCCTTCCATATCAATAATATACTGGATCAAGCTAGTAAATTGACTTTAACCTCTCTCATACAAATTGAAATATCCAGAGTGCAGCAAGGATATCTGAATTAAAATGACTTCTCACATACAATTAAAGATCAATCAATAATCGATCATGTGAGATGATGCTATCACACTGACTAAGGATGATAGGTAGGGTGCTATATCATTTTCTTTGTCATACATAATCACGCAGTTAATATTTCAAAAACAGTAAACAATGTGCATCGATATGTTTACGTAGTTCAGAGAAATTCTTCTAATCTATAGGGCTCACATTAGTGTAGTAGCCTTCATACTTTTGAAGTAGTTTACACCAGTCATTACATTAAGAAGCTTATCCAAATGTGATTGACAAAGTCCTATTTGAATAGCTTTTCACTCAAACCCTATTTGAGCTTACCTTGTGGCTAATACACCTTCAACACCTTCTCAAAAGACGTGCTTGCAGGTTTTGTTCTAGAATAGAAACCCTTAATTCTCACAATCTCACCTTCTTGTCTCTTGTGTATGTGATCAATTTTTTCCTTTGGACACTGGAAATGATGATGTTCATTCTTTTTAAGAAGTTTTTTTTGTGATTTATATCGATCTCTCTTTTACGTAATCTAGCAATGCAATTTTATCTTTTTTATAATTTAATATGAATTTGAGACAGATGGAGTATTTATTTAGAATTAAAAGAAACTGTGTAAACTACTATCATTATTTTCTAGTGAAAGTAGATGAGAAGAAATTTTTTGCCTAACTAAAAAATTGATGAAATAAGAAATAGTGAGAGAAAGAAGGAATTTAGATAAACAATCAGGCTCTGTTTGGTACACGGAATTCAAACTATGGAATTGGAATTGCAGATAACAATTCCAATTCTGCTGTTTGATTAGCACAAAAATATGTAGAATTGGAATTGGCAGTGCTAAAAATAAATTGGAATTGGAGAATTCAATTCTATCCAAATCAATTCCATAGAATTTTAACTCCCAATTCAATTCCAATTCCGTCAATTCTGTGTACCAAATGGACCCTCAATTGTATCTTGATTATTTCATTGATAATTTTATGATGTTTGCATGCAGTGAGCCGGGAGAAAAGTGCATCCTAATGGGAGGATCTCACACTTCCAGAATAGATATTGTCACCATCGCAGTAATATTTCAACCCTATATATATCATGTCATCCTTTTATAAGTAATTACTGAACCCTAAGTTTTATAAGTTGTCTTAGTAAAAATTAAGAAATTATTCTTTTAGATTAGAAAAATAGAACTGCATGTTGGATGAAACTAGGAGGAGTGGATAGAAAATGGATGAAGTTGGATAACATGTGAAAAATAATAAGTTAATTTTTCCAACCCAAAAAACATGCTTTAAGTTGTTAATTAACTAAAAATAAAAAAATAAGCAAAATTATAAATTTGGTCTTCCAAAAAGATGCTCTTGGCATAAGTAGTTTGGAAAAAGTAGTCTCGTGTGGTCTTCTACGCATATCCCATAACATGTATGATTTAGTTATTTTGTTTGCGTTGGATCGATCACTAGACACTCACTGCCAAAGGCCTTGTGGTCTAGTGGCAAAGTGATTCTTCCAAATGGGAGATCACAAGTTTGACCTCGAGTGAGGAATGTTAAGAAAAGTCACTCACTATACAATACGAAGTATAATATAATTATTTTATTTGAGAGTGATGGCCAAAGTTATTAATTGTTTTGTATTATTTTAAAAATATATAATTAATCAATAAATCACTTGTGGAATGTATATGAGGGTCAACATGCATGAGATTATAAGGCAAATTGAAACAACTTTTGGGTAGATTGTCCATGACAAAAATTGACAATTTTATAAACATGATCACTTTTGCCAATAAGGTAGAATCAAAATCACAAGCTAGTCATAAAAATAACTTTATCAAAAATGTTAATTATATTGTTGGATATGATTATTTCATCTTCTTGGAATATCCTAGGGATTTGCTGATTCATGTGTGTATGCATGCAGAGCTTTGTTTTGGGAATCGTGGTAATTGTGACTGCCACATTTTCAGTTGGCTATCATTCAAAAAGGTTTGAGGTTGGTCTCTATCACGCACATACTTGTTGATTGATTGATTTCATGGCCACAGTGATTTTGAGGACTTGGAAATTACCTCCATAAGATATTTTTAAATTTAAGGGTTAATAATGATCCAACTTATTAATATAACTCAACAACTAAGGCCCCGTTCCGTTCAACTTATTTTTTCTTATTTTTTCTTATTCTTATTAAAATCAGATCAGATCAGATCAGATCGAATCAGATCAGATCAGATCAGATCAGATCCAATCAGATCAGATCAGATCAGATCAGATCCAATCAGATCAGATTAGATCAGATCAGATCCAATCAGATCAGATCAGACCAGATCAGATCAGAACTTATTAGAATCAGATCAGATCAGAAAAAATAAGTTGAACGGAACGGAGCCTAAATCACTTAAATATACGGTATAGAGTGATACACAAATAGTGATAGATCTAAAGAGTAGCATTATTGGGAGAATTACCATTGGTTAGGCTATGTTTTCTCTAGTTGGCTCTAATCTGAATGTCTTAAGTCCAGATTTGATTTAGCTTGATCTGAACTTATCTGATTTGATTTGAATGTAGTGCAATTTAAAGCTGATTTGATTTGAACTTATCTGTCCGATTTAAATAAGTACTAATAAGTAAAAAAATAAGCTGAAGAGAGCATGCCCTTAATATGGGCATGAATAATTTGAAAATCTAGGGCTAGCACCCCGCAAGTTTTTAAAGACAATTAGAAATGACAAAAAAGTAGTGAATTTTTATCAAAAAATAATTCAATTAATTAAAAAGAAAAAAAGAAGAATATGAGTATTTTTACGGACTACATCGTAACTTAATTAATTCATATTTTCAATGTTCAGCGTTCAAATTTTGTTGTTGTCATTTTTAACAGTCTGTATGGCCCACACACATTCTCCAAATAGCCCCATTTGGTGGCAGTACCACGTTGGCCAACCATTAAAGGTAAATGACCACCATGATATGACCTACCCCAAGTAAGTCAATGAACACCTTGACGAAATCTCTCTTGTCACTGGCCAAGAATGGTGTCTTCGCCTACTGCCTCTAACTAACTCCGACATAGATGTCCTTCACATATCTGATATATATGCTCTAGGTCCCACACCCTCTTATCACGCGCCTTGGCTAGATGGAACAATTTTTTCGTTGCTCTACTCCTCGTACCTTCCCACTTAGGTTCCTCGTGAGCAACTCATAGCTACAATCTATAAACCTCTTATTTTAAGATCGAGCTTAATCATTATCATTAGAATCAAACTCGAAACAACTTAGGCTGTGTTTCGTTTGCCTCATCTGATCTCATCTGATTTTTTTGAAGATCTGGTCTGATCTGATCAGTTATAATTAAAGTTGTTTATGATTTGATCTGATTTGGTATGATCAGATTATAATAAGAATAAGTAATAAGCAGAAAAAATAAATTGAACAGAACGCAGCCTTAGTAATTTTGAAAATCTTCATGCATGTAGTTCAGGAGGGAACACGAAGAGCATCAAGATGCACATGATGTTCCATACAACTATGGATTCTTTCACTTCGTCTTTGCCGTAGGAACTATGTATTTTGCATTACTCCTAAATGGTTGGAACGCCGGCCACCCTATGAGAAAGTAAGTTGCCTTCTTATTTTATTGGTGTAATTTTTTCCGCAACAATTTGAGTTTCCACAACCTTTTCAACCATACATTCTTCTACATCTATTATATGAAAAGCATAAGTTTTCTCTCGTCTGCATCACTTTCCATTTTTAGAAAAAAATTGTGGTCTTTATAACTTCTCTCTTGTCTGAATCACTTTCAACCATACAATATTACTTTTCTTCATCTATGTGCCATGTCAAAGGTGGAAACTTTTATCGAGACAAAGGGGATCTTGAGGATAAATCCTATGCAATAACTTAAAAACTTAGTTTGCTTTGATGGCTAAAACTCTCTTTTATCGTCAGGTCCATTTCAATTATATGGACCTTGTTGATGTGGTCTCTTTAGCATTTGGATTAAGCTAGATTAGTATGACAAATTCTATGGTACATCTAAAGACCATCATGAACTTATATATGAGCAAAATAAGCATTTTCTTACTTTTTAAATAAGCATCTATTTTTTTAAATAAAAAAAATTGTATGTGAGAAGGTCTACAAAAATTGTTTGCACCCAAGGTGCACCAAAGAAGCACTCAATTAGTATTAGGATTCAGGAATTAGGATTGGGGGATTAGGATTAAGATTAGGTAGTGTTTGGGAATTAGAATTCATTTGAAACCTTAGATTTCAATTCTAATATTTGGAATCACATAATTTCAAATTCTAAATATTGTTTGGGAAGTCGTAAAATTTAAATTTTGGAGTCGGCAAAGACGATAACGGAAGCGGGTTGATATATATGAAATTGTTGTTGCATAAGGGAATATCACTCTTTAATTACAAGTTTTAAATTAAAGAAAAGTTGGACTTGAATTTGTAAATGACATGGAGAGAGGTGTGGATTTGTAGTTGGGTTAATTTTGAATTAGAAGAATTTGGTCCAAATTCAAATTCAAGTTTTTGGAGTTCCCAAACAAATAATTTGGATCAAATCCAGATTCGAAATCGAAATTCAAGTTTCCAAACACACCATAAGGAAATTAGGATCTGGCACATTAGCTTGGGCGAAACGAGCCTTTTCCCCATTAGATTCTAAGTTCAATAACTTTTGTGAGAAGGTCTAGAAATTAGACGTCAACCTTAGGTGCACGGAATCCCCATTCTTTATCGAAAATTCCAAAGGACAACATAGTTTTCTTTGATGACTAATCTTTTTTCAAGTTAGAGTCAAACTACATACTCCGTATATCTTATTTCCAAAGGACTATGTGAATAACATGCATGTCATGGCTTGGCTCCGCAGGTTTACCATTGATGTGGGGTGGGTAGGCACTTGGGCAAGGATAGTAAACGAGCTTGCAGCAGCTCTTGTTTACAGTAAGTTCAATTTCACCTGTTGTTTTTTAAAAGTATTTTCATTGTTCTCAGTTTTAAAATGGAAAATGATATTTTAATCTTAAAAGTGACAAAATTTGTTCACTTTATTTTCTTACCTCCATACTTATTTCATATCATTACCTATTGTTTTGTAAATAATTTTTAATGTTAGTTTTTAAATATTTTTATTTAGTTTTTAAATAAAGAGTACACAAATTTATTTTTGTTACACTTAGAACAAAATAAATTAAATTGAAAATAACATTAGTAAAATCTTGTAAACCAAATTGGGAAAAAAGTTTTGGAGGGAGGGAATATCTTTTTTGTAGTCTATTTATTAAATATTTTTGTTCTTTTATTTAAAAAATCATATTTAAATATTACATTAATATTTAAATAACTTGAATAAAAATTATTCCTGTGAACGATTGTAAATCCACAATATCATGCATATTTCTTTTTTGATTTTAGTACAAAAAGAATAGTGAGGGTGTAAAAAAGAGACGAATGTAATTATAATTAATGTCAATTTAGCATCCCCTTTTTATGTTAACCAAAGTGGTCCATTTTTGCAGTGTGGTTGCGTTTCTCGGACTCAAAAGGTGCATCCCGCGGGGGCCTCACAGCCTGACCCGAAAGGTTATAAAAAAGTAAATCGCGATTTAATCTGGCTGAGATCTCTAGAGAAGTTGTCCCTTGAAGAGCCATCATTTTATATGAAACTCAAACACAATGTGTTGACCCTATTAACAATTTCTTACGGAGTATGTGTTGTCTACATAATTAATTATAGTACCTTTTGACAATGTGTTGTCTCTATGAGCATGGGCAGTGGCGTGTCAAAGCCACTGCCACGCATGCCACATCATCCAAATTCCTCTTTTTCCATGGCAACCCATAGCAAGGCAACTTGCAAGCCATGGCAAGTGCGAGCCATCTTTTCTTTTTTATGTTTAATTTTTTTTTTTGTAAAAGAAAGAAGTTTTTTTTTATTTAATTTTTTTTAGAGGCAAGTAGAGGGGATTAGAGGCATTATTTTCCATTTTTAAATTTTTTATTTTTTCTACTTTCTAATCTTACTTTTTAAAAATAACTTAACCCTTTTTTAGTTGTCTTTCTTTTTTTCTTTACAATCTATTTTCTTTTTCAAAAAAATCTTACATTTATTTGAGACTAAAAAAAATTCATTTTTAAACATTAATGTTTTATGTGAAATTATATAATTTAATTTAAAAATTTGATTTTCTCTTTGTACAATTAAAATCTTTACAAGAAAATGCAATAATTTATAATAAAAAAACATACATGGACTAATTAAAATATGTCAAAATGTTAACATTGCCAAAAAAAAAATTACAATTATTTTTATTTAAAAAGATAAGTAAATTAATTTTTAATTATTAAAATATATTAAAAAGGTGTAAAAATGATAAAAAGAGTGACTTGCCACTGCAAGACATGCCACTCCACTCATGTACCACACGCTGACTGGACTTGTTTTGATTGGTTAAAATACTCCACGTCATCGTGTGGCATCCAATTTCTTACTTGCCATTGCCCATGCTCTTAACAAATTTAGTCTTTTTTTAGATTCTAATCATAGTACTTTTCTATTTTGATAGGCGATTTAATGTCAAAATAGAATCTCAAAAAACACTATAAAAGTGTTGGTATGTACCCAATGCCAAATTGGAGTTGCTTCACACTATCTACATTTTTTAAAGATAAAAACATAGAAGGTCTTACCTTAATATTAATTTCATGTTTTAATCTTATTTCGATACACGTTTTAGTTTTTTCAATTTGATTATGTAGAGATTAAAAATGTTAGAAAAAATATTAAAAGTGAAAAGTGAGTGGTTATAATCTGATTAAAAGAGTGAAGTGTTTTAGAGCTTATATAATCTTCAAGGAAAAACAAGTATTTCCTCTATCCCATTTGAAAGTTTACATTATGATTTACAATGTTTAATTGAAATAAATTGAAATTATTTTCTAATTCAATCTTATTTAATACTTTGTAATTGCATAAAATTTAAAAATATAATTTATACTCCATGTATTTTAAAAAATACATAAAAATTTACAAAATAAAAAAAGACATAATTACAAAGATTGATATAGAAAGAAAAATTAAATTTACATATTTAAAAATTATGTTGAAATTATTTTTAAAATAGATAATAACAAAAATATTTTATTTTATCAAATAATCAATTGAAGTGTATAATTTAACAATTTTTTTGTGATTTTTGAACATTAAAATATGACATTCTTTTGGAGACGTAAAAGTATTATGAAACAATTTGAAAGAATGGTAAGATTAAGGGCGCGTTTGGTGAATTTTAGAGATGTAATAAGATATGAGTTTTAAAATCTTGGAGAAATGATATGGATTTTGAAACCTGGATAAAAATTGTTTGGAGAAAGGAGAGTTGAAATCAAATCACAATTACAAGTGTTTGGTGAGCAAATAAGAAATAAAATTCAGTTGTTGAATAATACTCCATATTTATTAAGGTTCTATTGTTTAAGTTAAAATGAAGTAAATATAATTTTTGAAAATGGAAATGATATTGTTTAATTCGTAGAAAAATTAATGAAATTAAATTTTTTGGTGAGCAATTATAAAGATCAGAATTTAAATTTGACTCACCAAGCAGGCCCTTAATTTGACAAGAAAATGGCATGTTCTTGTTTCAATGAAAAGCCGTTTTTTGTTTGTTTGAAAATTGTAAATGACTCCGGAGAAGAGCCGGAGACTATAGGCTCCTTTGCACCAGAGCTCGGAATAAGCCACCGATGGAGCCTCTTCTGTAACGTACCGGTCACCGGCGCCGCATTGTTCGGAGATCACAGCGGAGCTTAAAAGAAGATTTCATGAAGCAATTCTGCGACGGCATAGTAAGTGCGAGTGAAGGAATAGAATGATTGATTTTCCGTTTTAACCGCATCAATTTCTTTCTTTCAGCTTTCTCCCTCGCCCAAACCCTAACCAAATTCTCTCTGCTCCGTTTCTCGCTTCTCAATCAGGTAATTTTTAGCTTTTCTGCTCTAATTAGGTTCCACAACACAGTTATTTTGAGTTATTTTAAAAGATGAAATTATGAAAGTATATTGTGTGATTAATATTTATGAGCTGCTGTGCCAGAAATAATGTAAACTTTGTTATTCTCTCTCTAAAAGGAAAGTGAATTTCATTTTTTTGGGGAACAAACAAAAAACTAATGTGTGGCTTTTTTGAGACAGAGAGGGAGTATGTGGATTTATTTATATTAATGTGTTTATAATATGCTCTGTTTGTGTATTTATTGTGAGTGTTCTTGGTGGGGTTGAATGGGATGTGGGCCTGAGATGGATGAGCTTGCTTTGAATTTTAATGGAGTTGGGTGAAGAATAAATTCTAGCATGCAACTGATTGATTTAAATTTCGTATTGAAAATAAGTTTTGGGTGGTTGAATCATATTCAGGAACATGCCAACACCTAAGTGAGTACATGTTTTTTCTTTTTTATTTGTGTTTTTTCAACATCTTAGTGAGGTGCCCTTGTTTGTGCAACATACCTAGGGTGTAAGTAATGGAAGGATAGGCGCAAGCTGTTACATTCAACTTTTTTTAAGAGAAAGATACAAAAGTTAATATGGAGCAATACAAATAGCTATATGCCTATATCACACTCACACATCCTAGCTATCCCTTATATGCCTATATCCACATATACCTATATCACACTTCCACATGTGTATGCAGAATTGCAGACCTTACTCCTTCCTAGGAAAGGTAAAGATGATGTTTTGGAAAGGCCACTGGCTCAAGTACAAAATACACTAGAATCGGTCAACAAGTGAAGGTAAACAAGAAAGAGAGGGACAAAAACAAAGGAACCAACTTAACCAAGTAATTGCCCTGACACAACTATTCTCGAAGGTCCTATAAACAGAGGTTATCAAACCTATCTAGACGTACTCTAAATAAAAAATGAAAATAAAAATGGAAGAGTTGAAAAAACATAACGTATTAATGCCATCCACGAACAGTAGAATTAGGATAAGTGGTAAATGAAGGTACGCGCACAATGATACATCACCTTAGACTGCGCACACTTGTTTCCTTCAATGAAGAAGTAAAAATGCAAAAGAATGATTTTTTTTTCAATTTTTACTCTTTACCGTTTTGTTTTTTACTTAATATGCTAATTGTGCAAATTTATGAAGTTTTGAAGGGCTCTTTTGTAACTGTTGATTAAATGATTCATTAATGAAAATAATTTAAGTTGTTGCACCAGTATGCCAAATATATAATTTTGAAAGCATAATGATATGGTAACTAGATGCTCCCTCGGAGGTGCTTTTGCCTCTTAGTTTGAACTTATAAATTGGAATAAGAGCTGTATCACTGGTGTTGGTCTTTTTTGAGCCACATTTACGTTGATAACTTGATATTCCAATCAATGATTTAAAGTGTTCTGGATTCTCCAGATTTTTCCTTCAAGTCTGTGGATTCATATGGCATTATAGTAGGATATCTAGCTGCTGATTTTTGGTGTGAAGACGTATGGGCTTCTCCAACTACCCCCACCCCCGGCAGAGTGACCATAGTAGATCTCTTTCCTAAAACAGAGAGAACCAAGATTGTTGCTCCTATTGCTTTACCTTCTCTTTTGATTTCTTATGTCAAAGAGAATTTGCATAGTTTTTCTTGCCTAAATTGCAATTGTTAGAAATGATTTTTTGTTTAATGATATACCACGCTAATCAGTGTCTATTCTTTCTTAATACTAATTCATTTTGGTTGTTTTTTTGTGATTTTCCATTTTTTAGGTTATACTTAAAATTCTTGATGGTTACAGAAAAAAATATTTTTTTTTGTTGTGCAGGAAAGAGACTAAAGAATGTCTGTCTATCTCTACGGTTGTAAAACCATGAGTTGTGTCATGCAAATTCTTCGTAGAGTGTCCATCCAGCAGTCTTTTTGTTAGGTATTATTATAAATTTGGAGTTGAATGGTTGATAAAGAAGGTTTAAACGTTAAATTTATTACTTCCTTTTGCCAGCGTCTTTAATATTCCCTTAGTAATTTAGAATATATTTCTTCTTTCCTTCTCTCTCGTTTTATAAACTTCAGTTCTACTTTTTTTGGATGTCCCTAAGCAAACTTCATCTTTAATTGTAAGGAAATGAGTATGTGGTTGGTATTTTTTATTTAGTTTATAATTAAATCTCAACCACACAAATTCGCTACCCTGAAATTCATCCTAAAAGCAAAGGTGAAATTTATTTAGGGACTGAATGAGTATTTTATCATGGGGAAAGGTTATATTATATCTGTTCCATGCATTTCCTCCACAACTTTAAAAGATCAGTAACGATGAAGATAACTTTATAAGCAAGTAAAAATTAGATTCCAATAACCTATAATCAGAATAAATAGTTCTAATGCAGTGTGCAAGGTGTTAACAATATGCAACTTAACTATGTCTTGTGGGCTACTAGGCTCCTAGTTTTTAGTTCCAAGGTTTGAGTCCATAACCTAATGGTTAATGATTGATTATTTTGCTAGCACACCAAATCCAACGCTCAGAAAGAAATATGGGATCATAACGCTAAACTTTGCTCTTCCAAATGGGATACTGTTGCTGTAGTTTTTTAGATATTGAAATCAGAAGTCACTCAGTAACTTATTAAATATGGATACCAAAATATTTGAAATTTAATAGGCTTTATTTTTATTCTGAAAGCAGCATATTGCATTATTGCTGGCATATCAGGATTTCAGTTTCTCATTTCTTTTTAGTAAACGA